TAAAAAGCAATCATTAATGGAGAAGAAACATTAAACAATATCCGTATTGCTAATTAGTTTATATTTTCGACACTTTTATGATTGGGGAAAATTTTTTCTCATTTTTATTTAGCCCATATGACGTTTCAATCAAAGCATACTTGAGATACTTGGTACAATAAAGGGTTTGTCAATTTTTTAATTAAATTTTGATTTCATTTTTACGCAATTTTTGACCGCGGACAGTGCTTTGAATAGAGCTGTAACCTGGCACCAGAACTTAAGAGTAGGGCAATTGATACAGGACCCAAAATTTGTAAAACAAACAGTGATGGCTATATCCTGAGTGGTAATCATGAATTAAAGTGTCCTTGCCACCAGGCTTCACCGTGGGAGGTTTTCGTCGTTTTTCTCCGTGTGTAACGCAAATGCAGGTTAGTTCCATCAAAGAGTTCTCTACGAAAGCGAATTTCTCCTAATACTTGTTTTAGGATTTTACTTGTTTTCTAAAATTGGGTTCAAAATTACAAGGCTACGGAGTTGAACCTTGGTAGTCGTAAACTCAAAATTGGATCGGCTGTTCAATGATTGTTATAAGAAAACAAAATTAAATTAAATTTTTGGAGCGATTTTTTTTTCTTCAGAATTGCAATAATTTTTTTAATATTTATTTATTTGTTTATTTTTTAAGGTGGATGGTTATGCAATGGAGAATTATTTGTCAAATGATGCACGTGTTTTTCTTTTGGTTGTATTGACTAAATTATACCTGACATGCATAAATTCATAATTTGCTTCACATATTGATAGTAGGCAGTTATTTTATTTACGTCGAACTATAATACAATCGGCTATTGGCGACTATCTGGGAAACATATGATTCCAAGACATGCCATCGCAATTTCGATCTTCTACGGAGGGGATGGCTACCTTGCTTTCCTAGCCCGACGACCTGCGCGCTAAGTCAAAAACTTTATGATAGAACCGTTCAACGATGACCGATACCGTGCACGGTTCCTAAGCTGGCTGATCAAAGTGGTCACTCATCCGCTTACTGACCGCAGCCAGTGATGCTTGACTGGGAACCACGTTTTTACGATCAGTCCATTGTGGGATTCACATATTGATGGCTTTCTTTGAAACATAATAAATAAGTCAACTTGTTTAATGAAGTTGCCTTAAGAGACCTCTTTTCTCTCGAGAGAGCTTAACTAAAGGAGAGTAGACAAATAGGAAGAAATCTAATAGTACAGTTAATCAGCTTTATTTAATAAGTAAAAATGAATTGACGTTGAATACTGTGAGACCTTTTGTCTCTTGGTTCGTTTTTAAAGACTACTCATTAAGGATGACCAAGGATTATTTCAATTTTAGCTTATTTATTACTAAATTCTTGATTATAGAATTATTTACAAAATGATACATGAATTGGAGAATATAATATTCCGGAGCGCTGCTGCTCCCTTCTCTCTCATACTTTCTCTAGCATAGTTCAACTCGAAACTCAACTCTTCTGCGTTCAAAGCTAATCTCTCCT